GTATAAATACGTGAATATACTCGTAAGAGAAAAATCTTAGTAATTATGTATTTGAATATTGATGACTTAAATATTTCAGCAGAGGATGCAAAGAGAACATGATCATCATCACAGATAAAAAATATTCTTAATGAATACCACAGATTAAATACTCTAACAATATCGTACACATATTACGTAACAAAATAAGATTTTATTTATAGTAATAGCATGTTAAATTAACTTCAAACTTACTTGACCAACTCAATACCTCAATATTTCATCATCGCCCAGTTTATACGACTTCAAAACATCTAAACTTCTTGTGAAATTTGTTTGTTCACAAGCAAGATTGTAATCTATTTATAATCACGATTTTTACTACTAAAACAACAATTATTGTAATAATAACATATATGAATGAAATTACATTATAAATTGAGATAAAAAAAATAAGAATCACGTAATATATATGTATTAGAGCATTTTAATAAAGTCGGTTCTCTATCATAATAAATACGATGGCATGTTGGTCGAAGATATTTAATTATTTGTTAAGTCCTGAACATGACCTCTATAAAAAAAAACTGGTGGAATCTGCAAAATTAAAATGAATCTATGCACCTGCTAGTCTCACGCGTAGCTCGGCGGGAGAGTACATGGGGTCGGAACGTGTCGCCCCCTAGCTCTGCACTTACCCCCAACCAGGGGTGGTAAGGTATTTTCACACTAAATAATGTTGCTATATTATACGAGTTTTCATAGTAAGTATACAGAAAGATAAATAGTGTTTAAATCTCATTAAACATCCCGTATTTCGTATGGTTTTCTCATTGAATTAAAGTTGAAATAGAAAATTTTATATGAAAATTCATCGTACTTAAGGAGGATGCCGAAATCTTCAGAAGATCGCCTTATACCTAGTTGATTTTTACAAATACGTTAGCAATAAATTAATTGTTTGCATTAAATAACTTACTTGAAAAGCAACTTTATATTAATTGAAATATACATTTTAAAAACCTTATTGTAGTAAAATTTTCCTATGAGACTATTTTTGAAGAATGTTTATCGTAAACGGAAAAAAATATTTATTACGTTATCCAAAATTGATAAAGTAATAAAATACTTACGTATGTATACGTTTACGTTTTTATACAAAGCGGAGTTACACTGTGACCTCACAAGTTATTTTTTTATAAATAAAAGACTAATTTTATAAAAAATCGTTTCAAGTTCGAGTATACGCCATGCTATATTCCGCTTGTGCTGGTTATCAAGTATTAGGTGGAGAGCGGAGTATGACCGTGAAAATTAAGCTGCTGTCCGTACAACAAATGAGCTTATGGAAATTCACTAGCGGAAAATTGTTTACTTCCTACACCCGTAACTCGAGTACCAGATAATTGAATCTGAATATGTTAACATTTAAAACTAGAGAATTTCATATCACTAATTAATTAAGTATTATATGAAGAAAAGAGTGTTCTGTATATTGTAAGTGACCGTCGTAGAAGTTGAAATATATGTAACTTGGTAATGTTGATTAGATATTAATAATGTCTACTCCAAATAATATAATATACACTAACCAACTGCCAGCGACATCTAGCGTCTAAATCACGTGACCTCATACTAGATACAAGAGTATGGATAGTCCAAGTTTGCATCGTCACTCGACATACGGAGCGTTAACAGTTTTATATTCAGAAACCTACGTACATTATAGTGTTGACGTATGTTATTGAATCAGAAACTGACAACGTTTAGTATTTAGTATTAGCTGTGAGATATGTACATAAATCAGAATGAGAATATGAATGATAGACATTATGTTATTCTAATGTATAAGCAATATTCTCGGAAAGTTTAATTAAAATCTGTCAAGTATATCTTAGATGACAGAGCAACAAATATACATACTCTAAGTACATCGTCAAAAACATTCGCATTTATAACAAAGATAAGAAATATATATTTGTGTTCAAAATTATTAATTTTTAGATAGAGAGAGGAGGAGGCCCTTAAACCCACACCTGGGTCGCAAGTCTCAGGCACTGTTGAAGCTCCTCTCCCTGCAACGCGATGGACCCGTTATATTAACATATACTTTTAACTGAATTATATTTAATCAGGAAATAATTTTGAACAAGTCACATTAGCCGCGGTTTCATAACAAAAAAGTTTTTAAAAGTCAAACTGCTTCAAGGTTACATCCACTATTCGTTTTTTGGTGTTTATTTGACAAAATAACAGAGCATTGGTATATATATAAATAATATAAGTCCCCCGCCGCGTTTGTCTGTCTGTTTGTTGGCGATAAACCCAAAACCTACTGCACCGATAGTGGGGTTCTCCAGAATTATTAAGATGCACGTTTTAATAAAAAGCGTTAGTTATATAAACTCGTTGTATATATTATTTCAATAATGAACTAACAACGAATATTATTGATCATTTTAATTTATATTAACAACTAGTTTTTGCCCGCGACTTCGTCCGCGTTAGTTTTGTCATTAGTAATATATGTATAGCTGACCGGGCGAACTCTATTCCGTTTTAGAGGCCATTAATAATCAGTTTTCTCCTGTTTCAATCGAACAGAATGATTGACATATTAGTTAATTGTCAAATCTAATGTCAAAGAAAACGTTTGTATGGGAAATAGAAAAGGGCTGTTTTTATGGTTTTTCCGGAAATTAATAAAAAATTTCAGCTTTTATACCTTCCCTGAACCTCCACGAACATTTCAAGACTAAGATAAGATAAATCCGTTTAGCTGTTCTCGAGTTTTAGCGAGACTAAGGAACAGCAATCCATTTTTATATATATAGAAGAAGAAGATTACTTATTCCAGCATACCTCAAAATTATGAAAACAATTTATAAAAACGTAAATGGATACTAACAAAAAAAAATCCAATAACCCAAACAGCCACCGAGGATACATATGAAAAAACAAATTATATTCTTCTATACTTACATATGTATCCATAAGTGAGAAGAAATGTTAAAGCCATACATACATATATACATACACATTGATAGTACCATCATTATTATGTTATAATTGACCTCACAGAAGATCCCATAAAGAAACAACGGTTAATCGAACACAACTCAATCCATACAAAGTCCATAACAAGAAAACCCTATTAAAATTTGGTTTTCAAGTTTTTAAAATCATGTTAAATAAAACTGCACATATAAAATACATTTTTATATTTCACCACATCAATATATACATCTACAGTAACATGAGGTTTGTAAAAGGAATGTCTTGAGGTCTCTAATAGGAATGCATATTATATATTGACAGGCAACACTTACAAGTAAACTATGTATAATATATAGATTAAATATAATTTTGAAACAATCTCCATAACAGGTCTTAATACATTTTGAATAACATAATTTTGACATCTCAATTTTTTTTTGATTTTATTATCAATATTCAATCAAAAGCAAGAAACATTAACAATAAAATAAAAAAAATGTATTCGATTTAATCGATACGTGTCTCACACTTCTATAAAGAAATTCTTTTACAAAATATAAAATATTTAAAATGAAATTACAATCAAATGTTATTTTAAAAATAGAATCATGTCACATCATCAAAAAGGTTATGTATATAAATTTAAATAATAAAACTAAAAAATCATATTCCTAAATTTTAAATTATTATATCAATTATATTATAGCAGTCATACTTTTTATATACATATAAAATCAAATACTTATATCAAAATGTATGTAAAATTATCACTGGCTGGAAATACATACATTTCTACTGAATTAAATTAGTTAAGTTACATAAAACTCATTTATTAATATTGTATACCATTTGGAATGTTATTACTGAGCTATGCCTACAGAGAAATCAGAGTCCATATTTCAAGCCGGAGTCGTTGAACTTACAAACTATACAGTAATACTTAAATTAGCTTAACATATAAATTATATTTGTCTTTGTGACATTCAATGATAGTTACACTACTATTAAAATTCCATATATTTTATTGAAAAAAAATATACATGTAAAATCTTTATTATTAATGATAAAAAAAGCAACTATGTCACAGAAGTAACATCTCAAATTCTATTCAATTGATATGCACAAGCCTATATTTGTATAACAAAATAATTATGCGTCATTTGTACAAGAATATAAATATTATTTGAAATGCAATTTTCTTTATGCTTCATCAGTCATTAACGAAGTTTTAAATTCCATTCATATAATTGGGAGTTATTTAGATTTGAATATGAAATATTATTCAAATACATTAGTGAATATAAAATAACCATGTAGATAAGACTTTCGAGAAATTGTAAAGCTTTTAGTAAAATTTATAGAAATATATGTTTATTTATATTTATAAAAATTATAATAGACATCATAGCATACATCAAGTCTTGTGTTTTTTAATTTTTTGACTAGAATTATTTATATAGACTTAAAACACAAAACTAAATGTTAAAACTCTTGTATAATTCCGATGATTCTTTAATCCATTTCTTTGCATTTACCCCATTTAATTAACAATAATTGAATATTTCTATACAACTATCAATATATACTTTGGGTTTTATACATAGATATATATATTTGTCTTAGAGACAGTTCTTATATAGAAAATAATATATAGAATACTTTTTCCTATTACTTCTGTTTTCCTCATATATCAAAGAGTAATAAAATTATTTATATCACATAATATAAAATAATTCAAGTTACTAAGAAAGGTAAATTAATTTAAATTTATGCATTTTTATATGTAATGCAATTATTATTCTATAATTTAAAATGGAATGTTAAATGACAAGCATAAGTAAAATTATGTCTTAAATTAACACAAAAAAGTTTTTTTTAAGCAAATGTGTAAAATCTTGTAAGATAATAGTAATGGTAATTGAAAAAAAATAATAAAAGTAATCAGATCAATGACTAAGATCCCAGGCAGTAAGATAGATATTCAAATCTTTATGGTCTCAAGATAGAAATTATTTGTCGTTCATTTAGATAATATTAATGTCTCTATCTGGTATACGATCAAAGTTTTCGATGGCTCTATTCCAGTAATAGTATGGTGGACCAGCTGAGAAGCAGTACTTCTGTGATAGGGGTGTGTCGTCCTGCACCCAGTACATCAGATAGAAGTTGCACATCTCATCTTTGTTGGTAGCCCTGGAAATTTTGTATCTCCAATGTTAGTTTTCAAATGATCAGAAATTATATAAAAACTCCTTTGTTCTCTTAGATTAATTTAAGTTCGAATAGATCGTGTATATAGAAAACCTACTATCTATTATTATAAATGGACGAGATATAGAAAAAATAAAATATGGCTTCACTTATGTAACAATTATTATATGTTCACTGTTTGTACATTAAAGATATAGAATCCAAGTTAATAATAAGGTTTTTTTATACATTTATATATCAAATATCATCAACTGGTGGACCAATTTGATATGTTTCGCTTACACATTATGTCAGGCTTCTAAAATTTAGCATCAGTTACTATCAAGTGATTCATAACAAAAGAAGTTATTATGATTTCAAGAATCACAAAGCTTATAAGTAGTAATGTAGTGATTTATGTATGAATACTGACCCAATCTTAACGGGGTATTCGTGTGTATTATTCATGACGCATCGCGCTGCTAGTACGTCGTTCTTCTTGATGGGGTCCATATCGTCCACGGGGTAGAACATCTGCGGCTCCTGGGGGTCGCGGCGACCCAGCAGACGCCATTCATCACCAGTCGATGCACGACGAACAACGTACCCCGAAACCTCAGTACCTGTTTATAATTAAGTTATATACAGGGTGTCCCAGAAGTCAACGTCAAACCGAAATGGGGTGATTGATCGTAACCATCCTTTTTGGTCATGATGGGTACAATTAACCCTGTCAACAGTGGCGTGCACAAAGATTTGGGGTCGGGTAAGCAGAATATGATTGAAAAATTAATACCAATTTTCACCATTTCCTCCTCTAAAACATTGATAATAATGATATCTTTCGCAAGTATTGATTTAAATTTTAAATGAAACTAATATTTTAACTATTGTTAACGGGCAGATGAGATCTGCCGTGATCACGATTGCTACAAAGTAATCGAAACGTCGGGAGTATGTAGTTTTTAAACATAACAAAATACGCGAAATAATCAGAAACTATTAGTTTCATTTAAACATTGATAATATTCGCGCATAATGTTACAGCTTTATGAATCTCTTATGAATACATACTTTATGAATCTCTCAGCTATCTCTGAGCCAGGAAAGTACCTTAAAACCATTACGATGTGTGCATCACAGCTTTATAAGTTATTTAAATAGGAATATCCATTATCCAGTGGAGATGCAAATATTCTTATTATTATCATTTGAAAACAACAAACATGTCAAACAAAATAACTTTCTCTGTGTGTACACAACCTGCTAACTAATTGAAACTATCATAATACTTTTCATTAAAACGAATATCATTACCTTTCTTTTAGTTCAATCTCAACTGGTCACACACCTTGACTTTACACTTATTTTAATTTTGTTATCAAACGATAATATTAAAAAATCTATTTGTAACTAATTTCAATAATCACATATCACAAGCACAGAACTCACAGCTATAATTTTCCATAACTCATTAATAAATTAATCCACTGTTTACTAATTAAAACTTATTCACTCGCGCTTAGAAAGACAAATGACAATATTCAATAATAATAAAATGGCGAAAAATATATGAACAGTTTACGGACCAATCAAAGAGCCCCGTTTCATATGACAATTAACGGACTTTCTACTACATTTTAAACAATACAAAATAATCAATGCTTCTCGAACACTATGCATGTGTTAGTTTTACACACACACATACAAATATTTCCTGTGTACATACACGAGATTTGTAGATCGTCCTTGAGAATTTGTGTATGGAAAATAAGCACAGAGTGGTTGTGCATACTGCCGCTCTGGCTGCAGTTGGCAGTGGCCGATCGAAAATGTTTCGTTTTAATGTGCTTTATAGATGGCGCTTTTAACAAATCGTTAATCGAATGTTATTTTAAATGTCTGTAAACATTTGTATTTCGTAATGTATGATTAAAAGTAAATAAGTAAAAATAAAACAATATAGATTAAGTTGTTATATGGGTAGGATATGCAGTGCTTATTTGCATCTATAGTGAGCACGCCACTGTTTGTCTCCCCGTTTCGGTTTGACATTGAGTTTTGGCTTCTAGGACAACCTGTACATTACACTTGTGTCTAACCTGAGGAGATGTAATATGTAGTCAATATGTTAACCAACCATCAGCAATATCTATCATCTTTATGACACGACTTCATAGTACATAGGTACATACAACTGTTGGTATTTGTTGCCAGAAAATATAATACAATGATAAATGATAGCTTATAAGCTGTTTGTTGTTCTAGATACGTTATGGGAGAGTTTCATCGAAATCCGTTCATTTACAATTCAAGTTATGTTGTTCGTTACATTACAAGTTATTTTGTTAATTGCATGTCGGACAACCCTCAAAAATTATTATATTAATATTATCTAGCTTTAGTTCACTAGTCGTTATAAAAATATAAATATTCTAATATAACCTGATATTATAATGAGATCTAAGATTTTCTCGAGTACTCATTTAAATGAAACTAATATTTTCGGATTTTACTTCGCGTCTTTATTTTTGATTACAAACTACATACTCCCGCCGTTTCGGCTACTCTTCAGCAACCGTGATCACGGGCAGACGAGATGGTTGCCCGTGTTTGTAAAAACGCGAAGTAAAATCCGAAAATATTAGTTTTATTTAAATCTGATATTAGTTTGCTACTAGTATTCGGTTTAAATAAGTTATATGTACTTACCAAGACTATGAGTGTGAGGTCTGAAAGCGAAGGGGTGAATGACCTTGTCCTCATGAAGCGTGCAAGCTGTCTCCATATGTTCGACGCGGTGTGGTGCGATCACGCCGCTAGTACCCAACAAGAAAACCCCCGCTTGACGAGGCATCCTGAAATACGGATTGGATACTTATTATATATGGATTCATTATTATTTTTGTATCTGGATTGTTATATCGATAGTTTTTATCCAGGTTGAAGTTAATTAGTTAGATTTTTTTTGTTGAAGAATGATTCTGATTTAAACTATCTGTTATATGTATATTAGCAAGACTGGTGCAGCATAAAATAACTTGTGGCTGTCATCAATTACTGCATTATTTTATTAAAAACAACAGTTAGTTATAATTTTTTGATATATGTAAAACGGAATTAAAAATTATTTAAAAGTATTTTTGACTTTTAGTGTAATACGAGGTTTAGGCGCACTACAGTTAAGTTCAGTAGGACCGTTGCATACAGAATTTTAACGAAATATAAGAATATTTAGACGAGTATAAGTATTTTAAAGTGTCATAGAACGTATTAAAGGTAGTGACATCAGCGTTCACTCTCTTTAAAGACAATAAATTATGTTTAATTTTTAACATGAGCCTATTTTATGAATTAACGTATTTATTATGTGTTACGTACAATTTCATTTAAGACTAGCTTTTCCCGCGACTCCGTCCGCGTGGAATAGTGACTTCTGGCAGATTTTTGGTTCTTCCCACATATGTAGTTCCCTTTCTTGCGGGGTTTTCGGAATGGTCGAGTTCCAGTAGAATTTTCAGGATAAAACCTATGTTTTTTTTATTCACAATGAAGTACTCTTAACCAACAACTTATTTATTTGTTTATTTGAATAAAGATTAATATTATTATGTTGATACAACTTAAACAAATTATTTCGACCAAATTAGGTACCATAAAAACGGTTTTTGTGAGATAATCTTAAAAGATAGACATATACTGTCGCGGACTGTTTTTTAGATCATTAAAAGAGCTATTATTCTTTAATACATATTTTTTGTGTATCTTGAACCATTTTCACGGAACGGAAGGCTTCAAAGATGAAATAATTTCTCCCGTTTTTAACACATTTACCACTATATCTTTGCGCCTATTGGTCGTAGCGTGATGTTATATAGCCCACAGCCTTCCTCGATAACTGGACTATCCAACACAAAAAGAATTATTCAATTCGAACCAGAAGTTTCGAAGATTAGCGATTTCAAACAAACAAACTCTTCAGCTTTATAATATTAGTATAGATATAGATTTAAATTAAGATGTTTCTTTATATTCCGTGTATACTTTCTATGTATATTCTGTAAGTTTTAATCATCAAATTAATGATTAGGGTAAAATATAATTATAATTACCTTTCCGTCGTATATTGTAACAGCACTCCTGAATTATCGGTTTGCCCTTCTGTAAAATAATAAAAAGAGAAATATTATAACTAATAAAGGCAATTGTTATTTTATTTAACAGGGACAATCCTGTGATAAGACTTGAACAAATTCATATTATGTTCTACGATACAAAAAAATTAAAAATACGAAACTGGGTAGAAAATATATAATATAAAATTTTGTCTTCTAGGCGGTCCCATAATGAATTGGCCTAACTATGAACTAACGTAGGAAAAGAATAAAACCAATTTAATTTTTCAATATAATCACCATGAGTACTAAAACATTTGACTTCTGTGAATCAAAATCTTTAAACCTTTATAAAAAAATCACAATTTTTGTCCTGAAAATAACCGTAGACTCTTCATAGGTTGAAAATTTTCTTTTCCTTAAATCGTGCTTTAAATTTGGGAATAAATAATATATTTCCGTCTCTCGTCTTCGAGACCACGGTTGCTGCAAATTAACCGAAACTACAGGAGTATGTAATTTAAAAAAATATAATAACGCGTAATAATAGTCGGAAGAGACCATGTTTTGACTATAAGGTAGATGGTCCACTTCTGTGAACCTGTGTTGATGAACTACATTTTTTTTAACACCAGCGATATGAACAGGGTTGTCAATGAGCCACAGGGCAGCTTTTGACAACTTGACTCTTCGTTTTTCCTTTATCTTGTCTCGTAATTTATATATTAAATAACCATAATATTCGCCGTTTACGACTGTGTTGTGTTACATTCTTTACAATTCACCATGAGAATGCCTTGAAAATCCAAAAAAATTGTAGAGATTAGTTTTACAATCGATTTTTCCACTTTTGCCTTTCAAACGGGTTTTCATCTTGATAACGAAAATCTATTGACTCATGCTGACTTTACCTTATTTAAACAGAAACTTTATGGCTCCGATACTCAGTTTTCGACTTTTTGAAAAAATACACGACTCTTTTGATTCTTTTGAGTTTTTTTTATTAAGTACACGTACTATTTAATGCAACACATGTAGCGACATGTCGAATAGAACTATATCAGACCAGCTCATTATGGGACCAAAAAAGAATAAACATAATTTACCTGGAAATTTATGCATATAATGCACTTGCAACACTAAATACTTGATCGGCGAGTTCTCTCCTACTAGAAAACCGACGTCCTCAGGCAGTTTGAGACTCGGAGCATCGCGGGCCCACGCGTATACTATCTGGAAATATATTGCATAATACATTACTTTTTAGATGAAACCATAATTCAGAGAAATTACTAAGGACCCACTAAATAATATTATTAAATAATATAAACTTTTACTAGATACTATGTTAAATTTAATTCATTTCCGCTCAAAAAATTACCGCAATCTAGGACGTGCAGTTTTAGAACCACTTTAAAACATTTAAATTTTAAACAAAAGGTCGAGTTAATGAAAGAGATGTATTCAGAGCATATTTATTTGCAAAAATCTTCTTTTTACGGCCACCCTGTTTAAGTCAAACTTTTTTTAAATTAATGTGATCCTTTACCATAATAGTCGCTGAAAAAAAATATATTTAAGGAAGGACTTTTAAATCTAAGACGAATACACTGGCTGTTTGGCTTAAACAAATAAAATAAAACTAAAACCATTTTCATTTATCTTCGATTTATTTAAGAAGCCCTTAACGTAAAGTTGCAGCTGTTTTTTTTTTGTCTGCAAATTTGTTTACAGACTATAAATAAAATAAAATACAGACTATACATATATAAGAACAAAGACCTTTTTTGAAACCATATTTTTCTTTAAAATAATAGTTTCTACATATGTCTTAATCAAAATCTACATACATACGAGTATATTGCGATAACTTATGATTAGTAACACTCGAATAAAACAGTAACTTTGACTTTAATTACGTACACGTTTCTTCTATAATAAAATTTTATTTTCAAAATATTTATTTAATTTATATTAATCTAGTTTTATAAAATATATTCGACCCGTGAAGGATTTGAACCTACGCCCTCCGACTGTCAAGAAATCTTTAGATCGGTGCTCTAACCTACTGAGCTAACGAGTCATGATACGGCTAGCGAAATTTGGATTCAGTTTAATTAAATTGCGATAAAATTTTATCAAACGCAAATGAGATATAACGATAAAAAAGTATCTAGTATAAAAAATCAATCGATAAGACTTACATTAATCGATAACTTTTTAATTAGAAAAAATGAGAAACAAATCTACTAATATTCGCAGATTGTACTAAAAATTGCACTAGGTATATGTAGAAAAAAATCGATCCAAAGAAGTAATTAGTTTTTATTTAACAGTTTCAACAATATAGACGTCACGAAGGATACTGAACAACAGAATACTTAATACATGAGATAATAAAAGGACAAACATCATAGTGATGTACCTCTTATATCGATAATAAAAGTAAATATATCGATTCATACCTGCGAACCAGACTGACAAGGGCTGGCCGTGTTGTAGCGGGAGTCGATATCATTGTTCTGCATTTCCCCGCAGCTCCTGTCATATAAATGTATACATAAATCTCAAGAACGCCCTTCAACATACAAATAGGCCAGTGACGTCATGACCTTTAGGGCGATGACGTCATATCCAAAGGCATCCTCTTATAACGATGAAAGCATTGTAGTTTTCGGAAACAGATTTTCGTTTAATATAATTTCAAGATAAACTTACATTATATGGAGGGGTCCTTATGAACGATAAGTAATGAGATCTAAGATTTTCGCGAGTATTCATTTAAATGAAAGTAATATTTTGGGATTTACTTCGCGATTTTTAGTTTTAATTATAAACTACATACTCCCGATGTAAAGTAATCGTACTTTACACTGTAAAGTCTACAGCATCGTGATCCCGGGCAGACGAGATGTGACGTCGGGATTATGTAGTTTATAATAAAAAAAATCGCGTAGTAAATCCGAAAATATTAGTTTCATTTAAATGAACGAAAAGTAATCAGAATTACCCTTAAGTAATCAAATATTAAAAACCAATTTATCTTAAGCTGAGACTTATTGAAATATATTATTTTATTTTAATATTTACTGTTTATTAAACAAAAATAAACATGATGGAATATTTGTGATAGATTTGTTCATTATAATTATTTAACCTTTAAACTGACCCATCCGAAACTTAGAGACAAAAACTTGACGAGACGAATTTGTTTGTGTTATACATACATATTGAGTATCTAGATATAATGGGTAAATTCTATAAAGAGTGCGGTAGCCTAGAATGTATTTATTTTATAATATTGAATGTAAAATAACAGTCATTTTGTCACACCTATGTGTTAATATCTCAGCAACATGACGAAGCGTCCACAAGAGCTCGAAACGAATTAGCAATACAAACAAATCAATATCTAAAATAAAGATAGCGTCAGTATTATAAAACGCGACGTTAATCCATTAGGATAAGGTTCAAAATAACTTAAACGATTAAAATGTAGGTAGTTATAAGTCCTTTTAATATGAAATTTTATTGATACAAATGTTTCTTACTTATCTTCTTTACATTATCTCTTATAGTTTTAATAAATAAGACATAAAAACTCATTCAAATTTTCCCGTTAACTGGATAGAAAAACCCAATGTAGCACAATAATTTAAAATCATTACAAGGTTGTTATTACGTAAGTATCAAGTATTTTATAGGTTAGTTTAAACTTTTAAGGCAATATAGTCCTTTCATTTAGGTACACTGCGTAATTATACCCACATGCCTACTTCAAGTCTTCATGGTCATACTACAAGATATCTAAGACTTTCGCGTGCAATAAATAAGATTAAAACGAAGTTTTACGGATAGTACGCCTTTTTTACAATTCTATATCTACATAATCACGACGTTTCAGTTTCTTTTGAACCATGATCACTGGCAGATGAGATGAAATTGTCTATACTAAATATCGAGAGTTGAAAATTATTAATTAAATCTACGCACATTATAATAATTGTTGTATGAAAACTTGTGCGAAGACATACCTACTATATGTGAACTACTGAGATATGTTTTCTGAACCCACCGATGTTTTCCTCGGTATATAGATAGTTAGCATCTTATTGATTTATTTTATATCTATTGTGCATAAATAAATTAAACCTACAACAAAAGATGAACCATATTTTTTAGCTTTAAATTAATTACTTCAAAACTATAATCAAATCAAACACGGAGGTATGTTGTTTAATATTCCACTTTTTATATCATAACAAATAAATAATTCTACAATGTGAATACAATAAAACACTGAATACTTTATGTACATAATATTGAGGTGTCTATTTTTTTTTTTGCAATAAATAAGTTTTCATTAAATGCATATGAAATACTAGCTTTCCGCTCGCAGCTTCGCCCACGTGGAGTTCGGTTATATCGCGTTCCCAAGAGAACCTTTCAAAAGTCTGGGATAAAAACTATCCTATGTTCTTTCTCAAGGTCAACTCTATCTCTGTACCAAATATCATTAAAATCAGTTCAGTGGTTTAGGCGTGAAAGCGTAACAGACAGACAGACAGAGTTATATAGTTTCGCATTTATAATATTATAGTAGGGATTTAGTCTAACTACATCAAATATGCATTTTTTAAGTTTGTCTGTTTGCCCGTTTGTTCGATCTATCCTTTAAAACGACAACCTGGCCCATTTATACTTTTAAATCAACCTAAATAAAGAAGTGAGTTCTCATTTCGATTAAATGTTTATTATTACTTCTTAAACTGAATTGCGATTTTCAAAATATTTTTCTAACACAAACGGCATTAATCTAACGTAAGTAAATTTTTATCTTGCAAAGGAACTGACGAACGGGTCCTTGATAAATCGAATAAAACCGCAAAATGAACTCCAAGGCGTTTCAGACAATGAGGGCAAAGCCGCTAGCAGCGGCTAGGATTTATATGAAAATTGTTTATAGGACTATTTCTTAACGCACTATAGTTTCAATTGTTAAAATGTCTTTAGCCCGATATTTACAATGTCTAATATTCAAGCCTCGATCCAAGTACATATACATTTGTCCGAACCACTGATAAGAATTTAAATTCAATTAAATGCAATTCATCCGTAAATAAATTTAAGCGAACATGTGTTACCATTGACAGAAAAAATAGTGTTGCCTTTTTTTATTTTTCATAGTAAATTATAAGTACAATATATAATATTGCTCGATTTATTCAGCCGGATGTCATTAATTCTATACTCAATTCAATAGCAATTTAAATTACACAAATAATACAAATTATTTTTTCATATGTAATCTATGTAGCATTTAAAAATCAACACCATAGCTTTAACAAATGATTATGTAAATTATAATAATTTTGCCCATAGACCAGAGAAGCGTTTTATGTATAATAAAATCTATAAAAGCTTAAAATCAGTCTTTGGTCTGTAAATTAATAGAAATCCATTAAGTTTATGTTTAGATAAGAAATTATGACCAATATATCCAATGTATTGTTTAATTATAAGACAAATAGTTGATAATTTTTAATACTCACCAAACTAAATCATCAGCGCCCGGTTCAGAACACCCATACAGCAGCATATGATGAGCTGTGTGCATTGTGGCATTTGGTTGAAAACCAACTGTACAATAAAAATTATGTGATCAGACTAGTAATTCACTATCAATAAGTATTTATAAATTAAAAAAGAGACAATACACCAAAGCAATATGTATCCATAAGTATTCAAATTAAAAAAATAAATATACAAAAACTACTTACCTATGTAGAAATGTGAATTTGGAACAATTCGTATAGGAGTACATAGATAGAGTTCATCCTGGAAAATACATTACAAATGAAATAATATCCATTGGCACAATTTTCCTATGATTTCAATGACTTAACATATAACTAAAAGTTATATAGAGAATTTACTACTTAGAATTCCATCACTTTTAACTATTATCTTATATATTCAAAACAAACATCCTCAAAGTTATTAGTTAATGAGATACTACTTATTGATTATTTTCTAAATATTGTCAAATGGATTAAAATGAAAAAGCTCCGTCATATCAAACAAAGAATGGATTCAAGATATACATTGCTCGCGGGCAATATATACTAGTTGTTTAAAGCTGCTTTAATACATAAATAATCATATAAAATTGATACACACATATACCTACACATATATTAGATAAACCCATTTTTTTAAATAATGTGCATTTATAAATAATATTGTTCAATTCAATAAGATAATGTTAAATGCATGATATTTGTTTACTTGTGATATTGAATGTTTTTTGTATTAAATAAATCTATTAAAGTGTTTTAATATACATTTGGTAATGGGTGAATCTATAAGATGTGATGGAAGGAAATCCTTAAATTGTAGTTTATACATAATTGAATTTCATACAAACTATTTAATTTAAATTTCCAACTAAGATAATACTGATTGATTCTTTTGCTTAACTCAATTTGACAGTGGTTAATTCTTTTGAATTGTATTTGGTAACCATAAAATGTAAAAATTTGACATTTTTAATATTATTTGTAAATCTTTATAATAAATATGTTCTATATACTAATAAATACGTTCCTAATGAATCATAACTGGAAATACTATTGATCAATATATCAAGTGATTACTGCACTTTATTGCAATTTTAATGTGGATAAGATACCAATAAGCCAATATTACCAATAATTTGTTGAACTACATATTTTAAAAGTCACTACATTATTTTTATTTAAATTTTCAAATATATTTTTCATGTTATTGGTTGGTAAATACATCTTGTAACAATGCAATAAAAATATTATTAAATAAAAAAAAACTTGAACTTATTGGATGATAAAATTTTAAGTATAATTAGGAAAAAATATATACAAGTTGTAATAGACACTAATAATGTAAACCGAGATCAGGTTTAACAAATAATAAATAATGAATATGAAAAATGTTAATTAATTTTAAACGAATTTATAAATAAAAAAATATATTTTTTATTTACCTGATTTGGCCAAACATTTGGCATTAAAAATTCATACGTATCGACTTCGTAGCATATTCCACTTCGAAATAAAACAGTTATTGCAAAAAGTGCGGAAAAAATTGTAATACACGACTTCATTATTATTTAAATTTAATTCAATAGAACTTTCAATATGTGGAGCTATACGAACAATGCGAGCGTACGGTAAATTCCCTTCTACTGTAATATCAATTATCGGTATGCTGATAATTTAAAAGATGTTTAACTGAGTATAGTAAGTTCGCGCATGAGCTCTTACACTGTCGAAGCGACAAGTGTTTATAATATTTCATAGATGCTGGTTGCTTTTAAGAATTGGCGATCAATAACATGTTTTCGTTTATCTACAGACGTCATTTGAAAGTGTTGACGCACTAAAAAAGTAAGATGGCAATGTGGCCATATAACAAAAAATTAATTACTGTATGGAATGTTTGGGAAATTTTAACATTTTTATATAATTTTAATTATTGTATTCTCTAAAAATAAATATTTTTTGTATATAGCAAAAACGCAGTTTTCTTGGAAGAAAAATAATTTATACCCTAAAATAATTAAAATGTGATGACATCTAAAGGACATGAATTTTACCAATCGGATTTAATAACTTTTAAGAATAGCGTTAAAATTTTAAAATATTTAGGTCACACTTGCATCAACGGACTATAATATTTCCTTTTTTCTTTAAGATGCAACATTTTGTAATTATTTTTTATTCAAAAAAGAAATTTCAACAAACTTTTACAAAGAAATGCATTTGAAAACCTTACCTATATTTTCCCTTTTAAATTGCAAATTAAAAATAGTTTTTTATCAAGGTGATAACTAGAAACAAATAATTGTTTTTAGCAACAATACAAGATTAATCATTATATTATATTATACAAGAATTCAGAAAACTTTTCCTTTTTTAATGTAATGGAAATGAATATAGTAGTAATATTTATCCAATATGTTGTATGAAGTAATAGAAAAATTAAATGATACTTACAATTATTATTAAACCAAATAGAAGTTTCCAAGCAAGTTTTGGTTAAAAGCGCCATCTACATTTTATCATTCAAAGTACTGAACATAGAAGAAACTCGGTCGAGTTTCTTAATTATAATTATTCGTGTTCGTAGACTCATACATCTATATCACTTTATCTGCAAATTTATAATTTTTAGTTATGTTCAAGTTATTGTGATTAGTATGCATTTTGAAGGTAAAACTAGAATAGATCGTAAAAGTAACCAGTGTCTTTTCGGATTCGCCTTTTATTTCTTTCCTGATAATAAACACTCATGACTTTCAGCTGCAGCTATAGATGGCGCTATTCACAAAAGTTCAAAGATGATTTAGAATGCATCTTTAAAGATGTCATAAATAAAATTATTACACTAACAATAATACTAGTACAATTAATTACAAATTCAAGCAATAGTTTTTATTATGAGTGCAATTCTTATCTTAGGAGTTCAAAATATAAATGTTACATCTTTCAAAAGAAAGGCAAACAAAAATCTATTTTTGAAAGACTTAAGTTGACGAGAAATAGCTTGGGAATCTTTCAGTAAATTTGCGGCGACTATTGAGTATTAATTATTATTATCGTTTGTGAGGAGACGGTGTGTGAAGAGTATTGTTGACTGAACAAGAAATGTTATTGCATTTAAAAATATTTAATACTATTTGTTCCATATTAAAAAGAAGAATATTTTAAATTTCTATAAGAGACAATATGGCTGTATTAACCTAAATTTAAGGTTCTTTAATGAGATAGAAGATTTTCGCGAATTTTATTCATTTTAATGATACTACATAATATTTTTCCGAATATAAGTGCTATGCGACTCTATTTTTGTAAAAAAACTACATAGTCCCGACGTTTCGGTTACTTTACAGCAACCGTGATCACGGACAGACGAGATGTGAATGGCAATGAGTAAACTGAATCTTGCTATTGATAGATTTAAGATGGTTCAGAAAAGCAAATATTTTATTTTTATTTAATATTGTGAAGGTGTCATCTATATACCGTTTATACATTTAAGGTCTTATTGGAGGAGAGCAAGGGGCTCGCACCTCGAAGTCTTCTTGAAATTTAAAAATCACCCCAATTACAATAGAGAAGATGACTGGAATCTATCAAACACCTCGGATCCCGTTCTTAAAAATATAAATTCCCAAGTCAGTGACCACACCGTAGCACCACGGGACACCGTGAGCGTATTCTGCCAGCATCCAGAGCGGTACACAAGAAAATTAAGAAGTCGGTACACAAGAAAATTAAGAAAAGCGGTACACAAGAAAATTAAGAAAATTAAGAAATGACAGACTTTCATATCTCGTCTGCCTGTGATCACGGTTGCTGTAAATTAGCCGAAACGTTGGGAGTATGTAGGTTTTTACAAAAATAAAGTAGCGTAGTATAATCTGAAAAATATTAGTTTCATTTAAATAATTTATGATTTTTTATCGAATATTTTGAGTTTAAAATCTTTTTTATTTTTTTCAAATAAAGGGGCTATGAAACATTTCGTAAATGTTGTAATCATAACAATAAGTCCTGACGTCTTTTTATTATACTAACTCCTATAATTAAACAGAATTGCTTAATTGATAACATTTCGCTTATTTAAGTTACTAATGGTTATCCTTAACTTAAATACCTAAATTTACTTATGATATATATTATCTAACCAATTCAATGATGTATAGACATGTATAGACATCATTGAATTGGTTACAAACAGCCAGTTGGTTGAAAACAGCCAGTACAAATTGAAATAACATAAAAACATTAAATTAAGCTTCTTAAAATGTTTGTTTTCTTTAAATAACGGATAAAAGTACATCGTAAATCTTATTTTTTATAATGAAGATTCAACTAGCAACAAATAAAGTGACTGTGCCGTCTAAAGAAGAATCTGGTCCACATAATATATTATAATGCTTTGAACACAGTGCCAAGGAAAATGTTTGCTTGCATTTATCTCGTTACCGCAAAGAACGATACATCAGCGGTATAATGGAAGTATCTTGTAGTAATAACGTTATCTGTCAACTCTCAAAACTACCAACAGTGTTGCCCTCTTTGAAAAATTCTATTAAGCTTAGCAAAATAAATTGACGTTGGAGACCATCTTGGGTAAAACAAAATTGTATTAAATTATCTATGAATTGATTTAAGAGTTTAATTTAATAGCGTAACTTATCCAACATTAAATTGACAATAGTTTCCTCTGTTAGATTAAGAGTGTATATAAGAAAGACAAATCCGGAATCTGTTCGTTACAAGGGTGAAAGGTCAATATCTGTAAAATGATATCCAATCTCTCACAAGGACATCACAAGTTATAACAAACGTGACGCACATGTGACCCAATAAACCTTATTGGATCCTATTTGTCAAATATATAAATATATATCCATAATATGTGTGATCTTGGATTGTATTTTTGAAGTTTACGCCAAATATTAGTTTTAAAGTTAATATATTGAATGTAGTTTTCAATTGACGAATAAAATAATTATCTATGAAAAATATACTTCTACATGAATTGACCTAATTTACTTATGATCCATTTTTC